TTCTCAGTGCTGTGCTTTAACCCGCTGCGCCACCAGGGAGGGCCGCCTTTGTCTTTTTTTTTTTTAAATAACATTTTTCTTTTTAAATATTTATTTATTCAGGCACATAAAGAATTGGGGTACAGGCCAGAGTTGCAGAGGTTAGAGGATTCACCAGAGACAGAACAGGTTCCCTGTCTTTGTTTGAAAGAATAATAGCAATGTCCATTCTCTTATGTGCAAGATCATTACTTTTTAATATTTCATAAGAAACAGATTCCTCCTCACTGTACACAATGCAAGCAGTGCAAAATCACACAGAGGAAAAGCATATAGAAGTTATAAAGAGCCTCCACTCAACCTCCTCCTGTGGCCAGTGCTCAGGGAGCCACGTGGATCTTTCCAGATCTTTTTTTTTATGTACAGAGTCTGTTGTGACTGTTATTACAGTCACCCAGTGGACTCTAGGACAGACCTGCAGGCTGGGGCTGGGATAAGGGCCCCACTCCTTTGCCCTGGAGTCACAGAACTGACCTTGGCAATGACACCGTGCTCATCTGCTCTATTGCTCCCACCCTCCTCGTGTCTCCTAGACAGTTCACTAAGAGTCATTCTCTGGCATGCAAGGATTTTCATAATTAACTCAGCTCAAGCAAATCAATAAATACTGGCCAAACCCAACTCAGCCAGGCTGTGATGAGCATAGGCAGCCGGGGGAGGAACTGTACTCACAGGGACCCCTCATGTGGGCGTAGCCAAGGACTCAGTGTGCTGCTGTAAGGACAGTGTCAGGGAGCCTGAGACCGCAGCATACGGATGAGAGCCATTCCACTTCATTTATTATTATCATTACTATAGTATATTTTTACATCATGTTGTGCCTTTTCCATCTCAGTTGTAATCCCTGTGGACTTCCCACCACCAATTCACCCGTGTGCCATCACCATAGTCCAGTGCACTGCTCCCACCCCCTGCCATTTTTTATCCTATTCCCCCTTCCACCTCTGTAATATGTTTCTAGTATATAGTTTTTCATTATTATTATTATTTCCCCCCAGCCCTTTATGCTCCTGCATAAAGGATGAGTGAAACCACCCAGTATGTTTCTTTTCCTTTCTGGCTTATTTCACTGAGCATGATCCCTTCCAGCTCCATCCATGTTGCTGCAAAAGGCATGAGTTTATCTTTTTTGATTGCTGAGTAATATTCCATTGTGTATATGTACCACATCTTTTTAATCCAGTCATCTACTTTTGGGCTTTTGGGTTGATTCTATGTCTTTTTTATTGTAAATAAAGCAGCAAGGAATGTGGGGGTGCAGATGTCTTTTTTAATCAGTGTTTTTGTGTCTTTTGGGTAGATACCTAGGAGTGGGGTTGCTGGGTCGTAGGGAAGCTCCATGTTTAGCAGTTTGAGGAACCTCCAAACAGTTTTCCATAGTGGTTGTACCAGTTTGCATTCCCACCAGCAGTGCAGGAGAGTTCCTTTTTCTCCACATCCTCACCAACATTTGTTGTTGCTAGTTGTTTGAAGATGTGCCATTCTCACTGGGGTGAGGTGGTATCTCATTGTGGTTTTAATCTGCATCTCCCTTATTACAAGTGATGTTGAACATTTTTCATATGCTTGTTGGCCATCTGCATTTCCTCTTTGGAGATATGTCTTTTTAGTTCTTCTGCCCATTTTTTGATGGCAGCCCACTTCATTTTAACTGCCATGCAACTTCTATTAAAAGCACTTCCTTTAGGGCCCTCCCTGGTGGCGCAACAGGTTAAAGCACAACACTAAGAAGCTTGAGCCACTTCTGCATGAGTTCAATTCCCGCCTGCCCCGGAGGTGATCCACATGGTGCGGCAGACCTCTCCTGACCTGCCCGCTGCTCCCCTCAGCAGCGTACTTCGTCGATCTGCCTGTTCTGCTCCCTGCTCTGTCTCTGGTGAATCCTCTCACCCTCCGCATCTCTGGCCTATACTCCAGTTCTATATGAATAAATAAATAAATCTTTAAAAAAAAAAAAGCACTTCCTTTATACCCCGCCCTATTCTGTCTTTGACACAATATCTCATTCTGTCCTCACAACA